GAGAGAACAAGCCGACAAGCATTGGGAGGACTCAACTGAGTCAAGTGTCGTCAGTCGCGAGAGGGAGGTCGGGACAGGGTTGAATCTCTGGACCCTGGAGCATACCCCTCCCAAGAGAACTTCGAATGTGTCGCCAGCTACCTACTTCGGTTTTCGGCGACAACAACAGGCAGGTGTTGCGATACCCCTGCAAGATATGCAAGCCCGGAAGTCAACATGAGTCAGGCACCCGACCCTATTGTAAACAGGGCGGGTTTACCTGCGGAATACCATCATGGCATGAATATCCCCAACCGAGGGTATGTGCACCCCGGAAATCCGAGAATCGACATGCCAGACGCACAGTAACGGAGGCTCGCGTTGCAACCTTTCGATGGAAAGGGGCTCTACCACGACCTCGACTGTGGATTCATGGAATAAGGATAAGAATTTATTCGATAAGTCGGGTTTCCAGAGCGTGCATGTGGCTTTGTGTGACCGGAAGTTATCAAGGTTGATATTCTAGGCCAGCAACTAGCTGGAAAAGCGCAGACCTACTATCGTCGTTTGGTGAAAACATGGTGGTTTGAAAGCCAAAGCCTGGATCACGCGATGCAGAGACTGCTGCAGACCTTCACGACGAAGATCTCACCGGCACAGAGCATGAAGTTGTTCACTTTAACCAAAACATCTTATTGAAATTGGACGGACCATTTCCTATACTTGACGGCCGTCAGTGATGCCTGTGGGGGTGCAGACAGTCTTGTGCTGTACAACATCGTTCACTATTCTGACGCACACATGCGAACGACTATGTTGTCCAGATTGGACATCCATCGCAATGACTACATACGGCAAGCAGAAGAGTTAGCATCAATTCGTCCAATCGACGGAGGTAAAAACTCACTCAAAGAATTTTGGGCGCGATGTGGTGAACGCTGTCGATTTTGGGAAGGAGTTTAAGGACAAGTCCAAACCAGGACAATCGCCACCACGCACCGATTCACGGACTTGATTCAGATGTGGAGAAGGGGAACACATTCGGTCGCGGTGTCCGAAATCGAAGAAGAAGTCCTCGGGTGCGAACTTTGTTTTAGCGGTTGGCCATGGTTTTAATCGTTCGTCTGGTCAATAGATACTCGACAGCGGTTCGAGCGGACATTTGGTCAATGATCCGAGTCTACTCACCGACCCGACCGTTTATCGCAGTGAGTGCCTGACGGTAGCCACAGATGGCAGTGCACTGCAAATAACCCTGCAAGGGACCGTGGACCATAAATTTGTTGCACTCGGAGTCGTGAACACAGTGAGACTCTTCGATGTTCAGTACGCGGAGAACCTTGAGCGTAACACCCTTTCATATGGATTGCTTGAGGCCAAAGATTGCGTACTCGAATATCGAGGAGGGAGGCGCGTGTTATTATCTGGTATGAGTGGGATGCCCATCCTGGATGTGGAATGTTGCAGCGAATCGCTCGGATCGTAATCCCAAGCCACCACGAGAGACAATGTTGACTGTCATTAATTCACCTGAGCATGAATCCGCCTCGGACGTTTAATGTGGTACCCTGATGGACTTTCATCGGCGTTCAGGGCATCTTTGTTTCGACACAATCGTCAAGATTGCAAAAGACCCGACATCGGGTATACGATTGACCTATTCGACTCGTCAAAAATTTCTGGCCTGTTCCAAGGGACAGCAGACCAAGGGAGTTCAGTCGAAGAGAGACACGGGCATAAATTCGCCAATCAACGTGATCGGGGGTGTCACTTGTTCGTACCTCAAGGGTCCCATGACCGACCCCTCCCCCCCCCGAGATCGTTTGGGAGATCGGTACATGGTCAATTTCATCGACCACCGATAAAGTTATTGTCGGGTGTTCTTGACTAAGTCGAAAGATGCAGCCGCATTGAAGTTCAAGATCTATATGGCAAGCTTCGAGCGCGAGTTCAATTGCACGATTCACGTCTTACACACCAATGGAGGTGGCGAATATAAGACGCTCGACATATTCTGCTTGTCGGAAGTCAACTCGCGTCAAGTAACTGAGTCGATAAACCAAGCGAGCAACGGCAAGGCTGAAAGGATGCAACGCACCATCATGAACATGGTGCGGAGAATGCTCTTTGCATCAAACCTACCGCTCTCGTTTTGGGTGATGCTGCATTGTACTCTTCGTACATAATGAACCGAAGCAAGGCCAATTATAACCCTGGAGGTGCATCGCTCATGGAGATCCTGACGAACAGGGATCCCGTGCTGACAGACGTCGTGGTTTTTGGGTCGACATGCACTGTGCACAGAGACCCGAAGAACAAATCACTCGGTGATCGAGGGAAGGCGGGCATCATCATTGGGCGAGGCAGCAAAACGAAGGGATACAACGTGTACATTCCAGTGGATAAGGTGGTCGTGGTGACCCAACACGTTCAAAGCGGTGAACCACCACAGGATGACCAAGATGGAAGAAAGACTTATCCTGACACGGTACGACGTCAGGAGGAGACAGGACGCGATCATCAAGCGGATAAAGAAGATCGTCGAGATTGTGTGAGGCGCGCGGAGAAGGTTCGAAAAGGTCGAAAGACGATATGATACATACTAGCGCCATGGCACAAGATCGACAATGTTGAGTCAAAGAAAAGTGGGCGAAGCCGATACCTCGGTGGACAGTTGCGACGTCGTGAATCAGTCTGCAAGTCAACACTACGGAGAGGCGATGAAGAGTAAGCATCGCGACCAATGGCTCGTGGCCATGACCGAAGAACTGGACGCATTTAAAGCAAGCGACGTTTGGAAGATCGTTGTGCCACCAAGAAATGCACGTTTCTTGCACAACAAGTGGGTTCTACAAGACAAAGACCTGCTCGAACGGAGACATCGAGCGATACAAAGCTTTACTGGTGGTTTGCGGGAATGAACAAGTCTTTGGCATCGACTACAATCTCACGTTTGCGGCCGTCATGGATTCGGTGACCGTCAGGTTGATTTTAATGCTCTTTAGGCGATGGAACATTCCCGCACGTCATAGGGATGTTCCGAACGCCTACGTGAAGGCAGAAGAAAAGGAACGCCTGGATATCTTCATGAAGGTACCAAGAGGCATGCAATTCACCAAGTAGTAACTTCAAGGTTTCGGTGTACAATCTCCTGGTGAAGTTGCTATGCTGTTGAAGAAATCGATATACGTATTGAAGCAAGCGGGACGCCTCTGGAGCAATCTTTTGCGCTCCAAATTGACCGAGATTGGTGACAAGCAGTGCACAACGGACATGTACCTCTACTACAAGCACAACGGTAAATAATTGACCATCGTCGGAGTGTACGTGAATTACCTTCTGGTCACGAGAACGAAGCAGTGCGCGGATGATGCGTTTTTTGCGGGGATGAAGACACTGTCTATCAAGGACCTGGGTGTCGTTCAGAAGTTTCTGGGACTCATAATTTCTTTGGACGATACACAAGGATATGCTCTGGATCAAGAGGTCATGATCGACGCGCTGCTTAGGGATTTCAAGTTGGAGTCCGCGAGCGGTTTACGAACACCAATCGGAGACGAATGCAATGCGGATCACAACGACAGTGAAGACTACCTACCCTTGAGAGTTACAACTGGAGAACCTAGTTTGAGCGCTTTTCAATCTTGGTTAGGAGTTTGCTATGGATCGCAAGATGCACGCGGCCCGATATCTGCTTTGCAGTGCACAAGGCAACTCGTCAAACGCATTAGCCGACCATTAAGGATTGGAAGACTACGAAGCGTATCACGAGATACTTGAAGGCGACGAAGAATTTGAAGTTGCACCTAAAAGGCAGCAGAATGACCCAACAAGATGTCAAGATTGAGTGTTGGAGTGACGCAGACTTTGCTGCCGACAAGGCGGAACGTAAGTCGGTGTCTGGATGAGCTAACAATGGACTGTTCTGTTGTTACGTGGTCGTGCAAGAAGCAGTCAGGTGTATCGCTGAGCACCATGGAAGAGGATTTCATATCCGCCTCTCAAGCAGGACGCGAGCTGCTCGGTATGAGAGAGTTATTGCTGGAGCTGAAGCTGCAAGTGCGTGCGCCAATGCCCATGTGGATGGGCAATTGAGCAGCTATTAAGCAACTCGAGGCAGAGAAGAGCACGACAAGCGCGAAACACGTGGACATCAGGATCAAGTTTATCTTTCACTACGTGCGTGAAGCAACTGTGGTGCCTCAATACGTCAATTCCGAGAACATGATGGCGGTAATCCTGACGAAGTCGTTGCCAGCGCCGAGACTGGAGGAGCTGCGCAAGATGTTCAACTTAAAAGCGACTCAGGCTGACGTCGAGGAGGAGTGTTAGAACAAATAGTTTCTGACACGTTACGTTAGCTTGAGTGTTACTGCAAGACCTGTTACAGGTTTTGGGCAACCTCCCCTGATTGGCTAACAAGTTAACATATGTGACGGAGGAAGACGATCGTCATGTCATACTGACACCTGAAGACAGCGGAAGAGATATTGACATACAGACGTCATATGGGACCAGGGATGATACACGGTGATGGGCACGCGGGACGTATGCCAGGTGCAACTTGACCTAGTCAAGTTGCAGTTGTGGTCATTAATTGCATACAATGGGATTAACAACGAAGGGTAGTTAACACACAGTATATTTCACTTTTACTTCCTACTTCTACTGCACAAGTGCACCTACGTCTAATATCTTCATGAGCAGAGAGTGTGTGGGAGCGGTCTCTGGTGCCGTGTTTTGTGTAGCATAACGACGCACCAATTCAGCATGCAATATACATCTACTTGCATATATGTAGATCCTATCTGTTGTGACAAGATGATATACGTGCAAACTTGTCTCGCTGAGCTTCTCCTGTCGGCTTTTTGTCTATTTCCGTGAACATTCACAATGTGTGGCGTCTATTATATCAAAACAAGTGCGCACAGCTTGTGTGGAGCAAACTATCCACCACCAAAATACCTAAACTTGTCCATCAAACGGGGGAGTGACGCACAGGTGGTGCAGTTCGAAAGACCATGTGGCCCCGTCGCCTCTCCTCACTGGCCGCCAGTACGTCCTGGGTGCGTCCAGGTTCGTACGACTACCTGCGCGAGGTGCTTGAAAGCCGCGTGTACGATGTGGCCATTCAGACGCCATTGCAGCTTGCTCCGGCGCTGACACAGTCACTACCGGGCCATTGTCGCCTCTTTCTCAAGCGCGAGGTACGTGCATATCAGCTTGAAGAAACGTGACTTCACTGACTCTTGAGCTGCTTACTGCAGGACATGCAACCGACTTTCTCGTTCAGTGTGCGCGGTGCTTACAATAAGATTGCTAGTTTGACGCCAGCTCAGCGGGAGAAGGGCGTTGTGGCGTGTGCGGCCGGCAACCATCTCGAAGGCGTAGCGTACGCTGCTGCTAAGCTGGGTATCGACGCAGTTGTCATTGCACCGGTCGGTACAGTGCAGAACGTTTCTCACTCTACCAAGAGTCAAATCACAATCGTGGAGCACGGCGCGGACTTTGATGCATCGCTGGTGCGTTCGGACATCACAAATATCGGAGCTTGGCACGTTTTCATGTGATGTGTGGATTTGTTACGGTGCAGCAAGAAGCGTTCCGAGTGGCGCATAGTGAGGGTCGATCGCTAGTCCACCCGTTCGATGATTCGCTAGTTATCGCTGGCAATGGCACGATTGCCATGGAGATCTTGAAAGAAGTACGGAAACAAATGTGCAGGCAAGGTGGAAGCATGTGTTGTCTGACGACTTATTGATGATGTCCAAACAGACGGCGGGAGACCACCCGTCAGCCATCTTTTCTCCAGTCGGAGGCGGTGGCTTGATCGCTGGTCTCGCCGTTTACGTGAAGGCAGTAGCTCCCCATGTTAAAATCATAGGCGTAGAAGCTGAGGGTGCCAATATCCTAGAGCAGTCGCTGCAGCAAGGCTCACCTGCAACTCTTGCGAGCGTGAACCGGTTCACGGAAGAAGTGGGCATCAAGACGATTGGCACGGAAAATTACCGACTGTGCAAGGATCTGGTAGACGAGGTAATAACTGTATCGACCGATGAGATATGCGCTGCAATAAAGGATGTGTTTGGTGACACGCGCTCACTCATGGAGCCTACTGGTACGTGGACGTTGAAGGCAGATCTCACCTGCCAAGCAAGCTACAAAAAGTAATGCTGTATCCTCTATCCGTGCATTGAGTAGGTGCGATCAGCGTTGCAGGAGCCAAGAAATACGCGCGAGTGAAGAACGCCCAAAATGAAAAGTATGTGGCTGTGCTGGCTGCTGCAAACATGGATTTTGACCGGCTGCGCTTCGTTGCGGAGCGCTCAGATGACCGCGAGCGCTTCATGGCTGTCAAGATTCCTGAGAAAATTGGCAGCTTCCAGGATCTTTACAACGCCGTTTGTACGTCTCCGCGACTGAGATTATCACGGTTTCCCATCGCTCACGTGTCATGTTCATACTCACGTGTTTCTCTATCCTGCAGTCCCTCACAACGTGACCGAGTTCTCATACCGTATGAACTCCGAAGATGACAATGAAGCGCGTATCTGCATGAGCATCCAGACCAAGACACAGGAAGAGTTCATTGGCGTCGTAAAGACGATCAATAAGCGCGACGACATGCACGCAATCGACCTGGCCTCGAACGAATTAGCCAAGTCGCACTTGCGCCATCTCGCTGGCGGCCGTCCAGAAAACGTACGTTTCCATATTGCCCATGGTGAAGCAATTGACGAATGGCTGCCCATTGACCCTCTCGCTTGCTCGATGTAGATCACAAACGAACGTCTGTTCCGACTCGAGTTCCCGGAGCGTCCCGGTGCACTAAAGGATTTCCTCGATACTCTCAGGTGCGTTGTTCGTTCCTGACTTGTTGCTGACCTGATCTACACCGCTCATCGCCTTGCGTTGTGCTAATGCAGTCAATCTGCACGCCAGTGGAACGTGAGCCTATTCCATTACCGCAACCACGGCGCCGACATTGGCCGTGTCCTTGTCGGGTTCCAGGTACCACCGAAAGATAACGCCGTGTTCCTTGCGTTCCTTGACCAAGTGGGTTTTCGTTGCGAAGAAGAGACGCAGAATTCAGCGTCGAGCTACTTTCTGCACTAGCTCTACCGTTCATCGTCGCGCGTTTGGTAATCAACTCGCGTCTGCGTGACAAGAAACGTCGATGGTTCGTACAGTCCTTTTTTCGTTCACAAGCGTCGTCGTCACTGCTTATCTATTTGGCCGACCTACGGGTTCGGGATTCGCAAAACCCGGGTCAACTGACGGGTAAATGGGCATCCCGTTGTCTCGTCACGGACGTGCATCATTTGCTAAAAAATTGACCAATCCGCGTCGTCTTTCGTGCAAAGATTTTGTTGTGTCCTCCTCAAACGGAAACGGCGAGCAAGAAGTCCCCCCTCGCGCGCACGCATTCACTCGCAAGTCTCTCTCTCTCTTTCCCTATCGAAGTCGCTCTCTCTCTCTCTCTCTCGTTGTCCACGAAGCTCTGGTGGCTTGTGGTCGTACTAGTGGGTAGCAAGCGCGTCGGCTTGCGCGTGCTCAGAGCCCATAACGTCGCGCCTCAAGACGTTAACGGCCGAGAACAGGGACCATACTGAAAGAAGATGCACGAGGCAGGCGCCAATGTCACACCGCGTGCGCCGCCGAGCGAGCGAGAACGGAAGCTCATGGATGTGATACTGCAGGCACCAGACACGCGCGTGGCACCGCTATTGGCGTGCGTCAAGGGCTGGCCAATGGAGGCGCAGGCGGACCTGGCCAATTGGCGCCGTGTACTGGAGAAGTTGCACCGAATGCTCCTGTCAGCTCTGCAGCAATGTCCGACACTACTACTGGTGAAAACAGAGCTCGAGAAGATCGAGCTGCCTGGGACGACCACGTCACGACCGACGGAGCAAGAGCTGACAGAGCAAGTGCTCGAAATTGTAAAGTTTTCCGGATATCTGCTGGAGAACGCTACAAACAAAGCAGTGTATCCATCGGTTGAGCCTATCATGGCTCTATTAGGTGCAAGAAATGAGCGAGTAGTGACCGAAGCTATTAAAGTAGTGGCTATGCTGGCCATGCCCCCTCAAGTGCATCGCTACGCTGCGGACCCCACGAGTTTTGTGGACCATGCAGCAGGAAAGAATAATTTACTGAGACGCCGACTGCTTACAGTGGCCAAAGGACGAGGAATGCCTAGCATTAGTCTGGAAGTGGTGGATTATCTGAAGGCGACGAATACAGAGCCGTTAAACGACGTCGAGTTTCAATTCTACGCTTCGCAACAGGATGGGGAAGACTTGACGTCACGTGTGGTGAGTGTGGCTATCCCACCGTATGATGACGTAGTGGCGGCCACGACGTCTCCGGAAGATGTCGCGTACGCAGCGGCTATAGCGTGTGCACGCTTGATCGCACAGCATCAGATTCCGAAAGCCCTACATTTTCAGTTGTTCACGCAAGTGCGCGCGTGTTATGCGTCGCGAAGCGCATTGGCGAGGGAGAATATGGTAGTTGAAAGGTTGCACGCGCTTCTGGCACTTTTTTCGCTTTTTAGCGATGCTTGGGACGTGACGCATTACGTCGAACAACATCCAGAACTTACACGGGGGATCGTGGAGCTTATTCGCGTCGAAAGCATTGAGCGCGTACCTGTGCGCGTACGAGTCACTGCGTTGCTTGTGTTGACTGCGCTAGTGAACGACCGCGTTGGGAAAGCAGGCAGTATGGGCATGCTTGGACGTCAGTCGAACGTTTTGCAGGCTTTGGGAGTTGTGAAAGGAACGCCACATGGTGTTTTCCCTTCGCTCGTGCGGTTTTGTATGGCCGAGCTGGGCGATACCTCCGCGCTTGGTTTTGTGAAAGCGTCAGGTTCTGTGTCTCCGCTCTTGCTAGCGCCGGAAGTAGCAGATACCGACATGGATATGAGTCTAGCTGTCGCATTTGTTCAAGCTACAACCGATTTGCTATCTCCTCATGAAGCGGAAGTGGTCAGCACGCCCCCGTTCCGATGCCTTGGTGGTGGGAGTATTCTGGAGTCAAAGCTGTGTTGGATGGAAGGCGTTTTAGGACTCCTGACGGCTGTGGTAGCAATCCAATCTGGTGCCACTGTTCTCACAGAGAACGGAATCATTCCGTCCCTCTTGCATGTGCTCACAATGCCAGCGGTGAGTGCCTTTCACATGGCCGTGACAACGCAGTGTGTGCAAGCGCTCGAAATAACAGTGAGCAGTCATCCGACAGCTGCTGCGCTCTACCGTGACCTGAACGGAGTCGAAATTTTGGTGAATCGATTGAAGCTGGAATGCACTAACTCGCTAGTGGTTTCGGAAACGAAGACGGTGCTATTGCTGGCTATTTTAGCCTCGCTGTCAATGTCCTTCCATTGCCAAGGTGTAATGAGCGCAGGAGCTACTAGCCGCGCTATTCGTGAAGGAAGTTCTCTCAGTACAGCGCTACTCCAGCTTTTGTCCAATCTGGATACATTTGGACCAGTGATATTTGCTCAGGCGGCCATCGTTGTATCTGACGTTATCAACAATGATCCGAGCAGTGTGAACCACGTCCACGCTGCCGGTTTGGCGGATGCATTCCTGAACACACTCACAAGGTGGGATATTGCAGAGCTATACCCATCCCGGGTCCTATTACCACCGTCTAGTGAACTACTAACGGCAGTGCCAACAGTGTTAAATGCTTTGTGTCTCACGACGTCGCATGCGGAAAAGGTGGCAAAGTCGGAACCACTCATGCACCTACTGGATTGTTTTGCACTTCCACAATATACGCAAGATGAATTCGAAGATTACTGCTTCCAAAGTGATGCGGCAGCTGTTGTTGGTGCTGGTACTCTTGAGCTAATGCGGCACGTTCCAAGCTTTCAAAATGCTGCCATGGAAGCTGCGGTTCATGCATTGAAGAAAGTGATTCGCTTCGGTGAAGAGAGTATGTCACCAAAGTCTTCACCGTCACCTCAAAGTGCTGAACAAAAGGCTAACGGTATTTTACTACGGATGACGACTCACTTGGCAGATTTATTGGAGCCTTTGCTGTCTAAGTCGGAGCACGCGGCGTATTTTGCCGACCTCGGAGGCATTCACCTGCTTTTGGCGCTCTATCAGCTAGTTTTACCAAGCACTTCTATCTTTCTGACAAACGTTCTGCCCAGCAGCAAGATTACGCGAAGCGGGCTACCAGAGAACACACGTTCTCACAACGTAGCGGTGCAGTCGATCACTCTAGCGCTTCGTTCCTACGCGTCTCAGCAGCCTACTGACCTTCTCGGAGCTATCGTGAAAGAAATGAGCTCACAGATGGACAGTTTGAAGCGTGCGCGCGCAGCTATCGGGCTATCATGGTCGCTAAGCGAGAGCAATGAAGGTGCCGAAAACGTGCTGAGCTCGTTGCCGGATTTAGATTTGGAGGAGCTGATTGGTACACATGACGAGAGCGGTGGCACGGAGTCGGTTGTTAATACGGTCGTAGTAGCAGGCGAGTACCTTCGGGTTTTGGCTGTGCTTGAATGGCTAGCCTCCATGCTCAAATGGACGCTGGAAACTGCACACACTCACATGCAGAGCCGGAGATGGTTTACCGAATTCACTGCGCCATCGACACAACGAGTCATGACGCGCTTGTTTTGTATCGATCGCTCTGTTCAGTTCGAGCGGGCAAGTCTGGCGGCGCAATATCAGAAAAGCCAAAAGGAAAAGGGTAGTAAGGCACAGGCGAGGCAGACCGGCGAATCGAGCATCAGCATGGAAGTACCTAACGTATATGGGTACGACACACCAAGTTCGCATACAGTTAAAAGTGGTAGTCGGGGTACAAGTATGTGGAAAATGGGCTCTTTACTACTCCTGCGCTTTTCACTGAGCATGCGCAGCCTTTTGACGGCTTACAGTAAGGTTTTCTTATCGGCTTCAATGCAACACCGTCGGGGAGATGATATTGTGGCTCCCTTGGCACCACATGCTCGATCATTGGCACGGACAGTTGCGCAAATCTTAGAAAACCATTTACTCTATGTCGTATCAGTCAATCGCGCGACAGAGATTGACACATTCGTACAGCAGTACTACCTCACGTTTCTCCTGGAGACGATCTCGATTGTACTTTTTGAGGGAAAGAAAAAGCAAGCGAACACACTGCTGCTGTTGGAGCTGATGAAGCCAATTGGCGATATCGTGGAGGTGCAGACTTCAGCTGCAACTCCTTTGTCGTCAGGTGATGTTGCAATGATTCAAGAAGACGTTTCAGAAGAAGAAGATGGTGCTGCTAGGCCTGGCAAGGCAATTACCACGTGTGCTGGTGCCCCGATCACGGCTTCAAACTTGATGGATGTGATCATAAATATAATCGAGCATTTCTTCACCGTTTGTCTCAAAGATGAACATGATAAGGCTAGCGTGCCCAGTGTCAGGCCCTCTCAAATGGCGTTGACGTCTTTTTACATTGCAGCAAGCCTCCTTCGAAAACTGTCGAACCTGGAAGCTTTGTCTACGTCACCGTTGACCGCGGCGTTGCTTACTCGTGATGCAGCAGGAGATACCGATGAAGCGCCATTTAAACCCCGAAAGCTTACCGTGCAGCTGCATGTCATGTGTGTGCGTGCAGTGTTGTTAATTTGGAAGAATGCGAAGTTCCCGGCTTCTCTTGTGGATTCGTGTATGGCAGAAATAATGCCAATTGTCGTGACTATATTGAGGAACCGCATGAGTAGTGACGATGAAGCGGTGGAATCGGATGGCGAAAGCGGGCTAAATAGTCCGGGCCAACGCGAAGGAGTAGCGATGATTCAAGATAACCGTGATGGGAACTTCAGCAATGAGCTTCACAACGAAGCGTTATCGCTCCGGAGAGCGCTTTTTGGGGGATCGCGCAGAGCGGGGCCTGGAGGAACTAGTCAGGGTCAAGTGTTCGTGCCGGATGCTGCAATTGTTGAGAGCCTGGTTTCCATGGGCTTCCCGCAGCTACGGGTTGAGCGGGCGTTACGACGAATTCAAGTAAACAACGTGGAGTTAGCTATGGAATGGATTTTGGGTCATCCAGAGGACGAAGACGAAGCGCATGATGGTGATACACAGCATGAAGAAGCACAAGACGACGACAGTGCGGTTGCGGCGAGCGCGCTGCGTCAAGTGAAAAATGTGGCAGGGGTAAAGAAGATGGACAGAGGCTTACAGGCGCTTTACCTTTTGTTGCGAGACAGTTTCGAAGCAGTCTGCTTCCAGATTTTACGCGTGCGGGCCGCCAAAGAAAAGGGTAAAGATGCGAAACGTGCGAAAATGTTGGACCCCATGGGAAAACTGTATCCGGGTCAAAATCTCGCCACAGCAATCGCAGAGTACTTCACCTTCGTATGCTCGCTCTCGGATGTGGACCGTGATTTGGTCGTTCAACGTCTGAATACTGCCATTTTGGATCACTTCAATGGAGGTGAAGATGGTGGAGACGAGTATTTGACTATGCTTAGCCACCTATTGGCGCTCGTGCTTCAGCTGAATGTTGACACCCGTGCTGTGCTACAACTTCAATCACCTTCGTGTATTGAAAAACTCGTGACTTATGTTTCAAGTGCCAGTATCTGTGATCAGGGATGTCTGAAGTCGTCGTGTACGCCAGTACTACTGGTTTTTGACGCAGTGGTAGCTGGAATGGCGGCCAGACACTCATCTCCTTGCGGTGCCTCTTCTGCTGATGGTTCTCTCGTCAGAAGTGAGACCAGTATTGAGACCGAGTCGAAAGAGCGCAGCGGGAATGATGACAGCGACCGTAATGGAGGTCTTTCCTTCGAAAAGCAACTTGTCACGATTTGCTTGCAGACGCTGAAGCAAGCATCGTCGATAGCTTCAACGACTTCCAGCAAGGCAGTAGCTCATGCCATTTGGCAGCTTTTAGCGCGTTTGACGCTCAAGTATGACTTGGCGTCTTATTTCTCGGCACACGGTGGCCTTGATGCGGTGTTGGATATTTCGGAAGGCTTATTGTTTGTTGGCTACCAAGAACTGACTTGCACGTTACTCTCGCAAATACTAGAATCCCCTGAAGTTCTTGAGCACATGATGGAGGAAAAGATTCGGCGTGCGATTGCCAAGTTGTCAGCGCGATTTGGTCCACCAAGCCAAATGCGCATCACACTGCGCGCGCTATTAACAGAAGTTGCCCCATTTGCAACTCGAGATGAAACTGTGTTCCTGAACGCATTGCAAAAGTCAGTGCGGGTAAAGAAGTCTGAGTCCGGCCGGGCGTACGTTGTACCACGAAGTACGAAGGCTGATGGTACCGACGCATTCACAGGGCAGCCTTCTCGCGCTCTCTTGGATCCGGACAGCGCGACAGGTGGAGCAAAGTCTTCGCACAAATTCCCTAAAGATCACAAACACGAAGCTCACATCATTGTCACAAAGATCATTGGTCGCATCTGTCGGTTGTGGGCCGTTGAAAAGCATGCCAAGAAGCAGCAAGCCGCAGTGGGTGATGAGGTTGGTGCCGCATCCGCGGGAGTGTTTGTGGGCGTGTACTTGCAGCTACTGGTTCATTTGACTACTCATTTTCCTGCATGCGCGACAATCCTGGCGAAAGCAAAAGATGAGACTGGTCTGTATGGAGAGCACGACAGCTTTATACGCCTTGTGCTGTGCGAATTCTTGCCTTCCCGCGAACTCTGTCAGTTTATGGCAGCCCGAAGGGCTCTGAAAGAGGACGGATATTACGGTAACGGCAGACTAGGCAATTTTGACGCTGATTTGCTTGTGACGGATGCCAAAGAGTTTATTGACCGCCGCACAACGTCGCGTGTGAACTATGCGCACAGGCTCTTGGTAAGCATCGGCAGCCGTTCTGGCGAAGGTTCAAAGTGTATTATCTTGCAGCTCATCCATTTGCTTCAAGAGTGGCCGCAAAATGGTGTTGACGTTGCAGGCGGCAATTGTGACTTGAGTGTCAGAGATGAACGAGCGTTGAGTTGTTTGCACGCTTGGTCGGGTTTGATTATGAGTATCTTATGGCCCAAGGGCTCATCGAAAGGATTCGCGTGGGACAAGGTCGTGCTTGGAGGAGGTTTGAGGGGCAAACATGCTTTCGTAACTTTGCTAGCCAACGCCTTGCGAAAAGTCGACCTGACACATCCGTTAGCACACGCTATCTGCACGATGTTGCTGCGCCCGCTAGCGACACTTACACGTTCGTTTGTGACACACCGTGCACGTCGTCTACAAAAAAAGCAAAACAATACCTCGGCTGACTTGGATAATGCGGGCTCGTCAGACCGTGACCATAACCAGGCATGCAATACCGCTGGCGTCGAAATGTCCACCTCAATGGTGGCAGCTCCAGTGTCAGCTTTGTCGATACAGGGGGAAACTCCTGATACTACAGAATCGGTAGATCGGGATGGCAGTATGGAGGAGGTAGAGACACGACGACCTCCATATTCCGATAGGACGAGCTTTTATCCGCTACGTGAAGAAGACGATGACGATGTTTCGATGCAATCTCCGCTCTCAGAAACGGATGACCACGACATGCGTGGCGATGGCGAGGAGCACAGTGAAGATGACCAAAGCAGTATATCCGACCATTCTACGGACGATGGAGAAGGTGAGGATGATGAGGATGATGAGGAAGACGACGATGACGATGATGACGACGATGATGGAGAAGACGACGATGACGACGATGATGATGACGACGACGACGACGACGAAGATGACGAATATGACGACGACGAAGACGAGTTTGTTGAGCACCAGCATTTGCTCATTTCTCGCCGCACCGGATCAAGTCGCCGCACATCTTCGAACCGTCTCTGGGGATCTCTTGACTCGGATCTATCGATCCTAGACGAAATGGATGAAGTTGACGAAGACGAATACTCCTACCTAAACATACTCGATGACGAGGCAATCTTTGCCGAAGAACAACGGCGCCGCGCTCGTCTTATAGACGCACGTAACACCAGATCAGGTGACAACGCTAGCGAAGGGAGCCAGCCTGTTGCAAACTCGGAGGACGGGCTCGTTGAGACCATGCGCGATGCGCTTCTCTTGCACAGCAGCAGTGGTAGCGGGACAAGTTCTATCTCGAGCGGCGAGACTCTTGTGCTGACATTCGGCGACGTGGAAGACAATGTGGAAGAAGACCGGGCAGACCTTGTTGTAGTACCACGAAGTTATGTAGGCAGCAGACATGCAGTGGGACCTTCGCCAGGATCGGGAAGTCAATCGGGAAGCGGTTCCAACAGTATGGCTACCTCACTGCTCCAGTACATTGAAGAGCTACCGGATATGCTGGATGACGATTTTACTTTTGAAGCATTCGATGCAAGTGTAAGAGGCGATCGATCACGTCGCGAACGTCAATCGGGTCGCCCTGGTAGCAACGTGTATGGTCAACTTAATTCAGGCAGCACAACGACACATCCGCTACTACGTTCGCATGGACGTGGAGGCTCTATCTTGGTGCGCAGTACTGGACGACTGTCACTTCCCCGTCACTCGTCTCTTTTGCGAGAGCTACAAGAGCTGACTGATCAAGTTCAGTCACAGCTGCCGCCGGGCGGGAGCAGATTACGACTGGCAGTAGGACGAGACTTGTTGCAGCGCGGACCAGGAAGTCGGGGTCGACCACTGAATCGTGTTAATCGTTTGTCTGCTGTTAGCAACCTGCTGAGTGAGTTTTCGCTGGATATCCCGGCCTCGACACTGCCTTCTCGAGACCAGCGTCTCGGTTTACGCAGGGGTGACCGGGATGTGTTCAGCGATATTTTTGCTGGTGTCGGTTTGCCTCGAGGTCTTAGCACTCGTGCTAATGATGTGATCGGTGGAACAGCTAGTTCGACTATCTGGCGCTCAGGTGGTGAAGGCCGTGATATGGATGTCCGCTCGGTAGCTTCAAGACTCGAGCAGCAAATCATTCACATTTGCGCCGATAGTGAGGAGCCTGCAGTGGCATCTGCTGATACGCGAGCAGAAGGTGAGACAACAACACAGCCGCAAGATCATGCTGACGATTCCATGGGAGATCGTAGTGCTACTGGGACACCTCGGAGTGGGGAGGATAGTGTTAGCGCGCTGCAAGCACAAGATAACGCTGGGGAGAGCCAAACCCGACCAGATGATTCAGCGGATGCTGATCAAGCCGATGTACACGACACGGCAACAGAAGCCGCTTTTGTTTTGGAACTTACTAGTACCCTTGGAGAAACATGTCTGCTGCGATCGCCACCTGAGTCCGATGTCGACGTAGACAACGTCGACTCAGAAGCCGAAACGATCGCTGAGGCAACGATAGGTTCTCCACCTGAGGCGGCCTCTGTACCAACAAGTAGCTCCGATAGTGCAACATTACCCCCGCCTCCAGAACTCGATTTGGCTACGACGACACCCGTATCGAACACTCCTGATGTCATGATGAACTTTACGCTCGATTTATCCAGATTCGGCTCGGCTCCGACACAACCCGTCGCCAACGAAAGCCGTGGCAGAGGTATGGCCATCGACGAAGAGTCGAAGTCAGAGGAATTGTCACGAACTGAGACGCAGACACGATCAGTTGAAGTTGTCACGTCAGAACTGTCGCCTGCATTGCTTGATCAGCAACACGAGCGAGAGTACCAGTGCCCCGAAGGTATGGATGCTGAAGTGTTTGCGTCATTGCCCTCGGACATGCAAGCAGAAATCGTTGCTCAAAGCGCGCTAGCAGCCTCTGAATCCACAAGCGCTCGCAGTGATACAGCTACGGCCGGAGGTGGCAGAGCTGGCTCTGAAAGTATGTCACAAATGGATCTAGATATGGCCAATTCGAGCTTCGACCGTGAGACGCTGGAAGCGTTGCCTCCAGAAATTCGTGCAGAGGTCTTGGAAAATGAACGACGCGAGCGCGAGGCTGTTGCCCGTGCGGAAACTGCTGACACTTCTCGCGCTCAGGAAATGGATAATGCTTCTTTCGTGGCTTCGCTAGCACCCGAACTGCGCGAGGAGATATTGGTCACTTGCGACGATGCGTTTCTGCAGACACTGCCGTCCCAAGTTCGTGCAGAAGCCGCTGTGCTGCGTGAACGCGCAGCCTTTCGCTCAACCTACCGTGAACGTGATCACGCTACCGAGGGTAGAGTAGGTGACAACGACATGGAGTTGTTTACTAATCGCCCTACACTACGACGTATGCTGACCTCTCACAGCCCCGAACGAGGTAGCGGTCGGCGGCGGCCTCGCATGTATGACGACGTCGGTGTACTGCGCCGTGGCAGCCGCCATGGAGCTGGAAGCTCCATGGCCCGTAAGGGCTTTCTGTGCGTGGACAAGGACGAGGAAGAGAATGCCAGTGAGCGAATCACGGACGATCGATGTGTACGCGGTTTATTGCGGCTGCTTTTTATGACGCAATCTGTCATACAGAATCGTGTATTCCAGCGGCTACTTGCAAACATTTGCCTGTATCCGCTGACACGACGAAGTGTTCGTCGTATGTTGTTGCAGATGGTATCGTTACCGCTTTCAGAGCCCTTGATCCCTGGCGATGAAAAAGATGACGATGATGACGGTAGCGGCACGATTCAGTTCCCGCCGGCCGCGACGTATGGACATGGTATTGATGGAAGTCGTGCTATTGGAAGGTCCGCGGTTCCTACAGAAGTTGTCAACCGCATGTTGTATGTTCTTGTGTCTCTTGCGAAGTATAACCCACGTTTTACCGTGGAAATGCTTCAGCCTCATGGCATGCTTCGTGCCCCAAATGAGTATTGCTCACCGGTGAAAGCAGAAGCGCCATCCTTTCGTGAGTGTGGTGTTGCTGTCTTGATCGACTTGCTGGCGCTGCCGGTAGTGTACCGCAACAGTACAAACTTGGATGCCTTGCTCGAGTTGCTTGAGCTAGTTTTGTCACCTCTCGAGCGCCTCCACAAACCGACTGGTGATGGTAAGGAAGAAAAGGAGGGCAATGAGGCTGACGCTTTGACCCCGGAAGATGGCGGTGAATGGGTAGCGGTACCGGCGGTAGAGCTGGACCAAGCGCGTATGGGTGAAATTGTTTCTGTTTTAGGTATGGATCTGTGCACGGCTCAGATGCAGGAACGCACACTCGCAATATTGAAGCTGCTCACTCATGTGCGTAGCAACTGCGAGCTTGTCATCAACGCGATCGTGCGACACGCCAGCACGCTGGCCCGTGTGGATTGGCGCAATGCAATGAATCTGCAGGTCGAGGGTACTAGATTCGAGTCTTCAGCAGTGCTACCGTCGGCTCAGGATGAGCTTAAGCTACTACGACTACTACACACTTTGTCAGACGTGTGCGAGAGCACTGCGAAGTTTACCGAGTGCTGCCAGATTATCGGTTTGGACCCGTTGTGGGATTCTCTGAGTTTGTCGTTGACGGAAGCCCGTGCAAAGGGTGGTCTCGATGATCAGGACAGCAGTGTTTCTGGTGCTTTATCTGCCCCTTCAACTATTCCGGTGATTGGGTTTGTTGGTCAGTCGGGCGCGGCAGCAGACGACGCAGAGGGAACTGTTATTCAAGGTAAGAGCGCTGGTGCATCATGTGCAATGGCAGCACTCTTGGCGCGATTCCTTCCCATGGTGGAGGCTTTTTTTGTTGTCAACGCTCGTGACGCAGCATCTATGTCGTTGCGCTTACCGGATTCTAGTGAGCGCGAAGAAGCAGTCGTGGCAGCACTGAGTGCGGGCGGATTTGATGGTGCCAATGCAACTGCACTCATGGGTGACAAGGAGCAAAAGGCTTCGCCAAGGACTGCTCTAAAGCGCAGTTTATCGGCTTTATCGTCAATGTCCGAGGCAAATGAGACAATGAGACTGGTCAATTTCGTGGAGTCAAATCGCGTGCTTTTGAACTTGTTGGTTCGAGAAAAACCATCGTTACTCGACACTTCTTTAGCCGCTTTGATCAAGATATCTCGCTGCCGAGCTTATCTGGCGTTCGACAACAAGCGCACGTACTTTCAAAGCGCCATGAAACGGCTTCGTCAAGCGGCGCTAAGAGGCCATGGCGGCAGCAGCTCTTCGGTGCGCATTCCCGTACGGCGCGATCATATATTTGAGGACTCCTATTATGCCTTGCGTATGCGCAGCGGTACCGAATTGCGGCGGAAGCTGCACATTTCATTCACGGGCGAAGAGGGCATTGATGCAGGCGGAGTTACGCGAGAGTGGTACATGATTCTTGCGCGCGAGATGTTTAACCCGAATTATGTGCTTTTCACTTCAGCGGCAGATTCCCCCACGTTTCAGCCAAACCCTCTCTCGTACGTGAACAAAGACCACTTGAGCTACTTTGAGTTCGTCGGAAAAGTGCTGGGCAAAGCGGTCGCAGACGGCCAACTTCTTGATGCGCATTTTACGCGCTCGTTCTACAAACATATCTTGCAGTTGCCAATTTCGTACCACGACATGGAAGCCATCGACCCAGAGTACTATCGGAATTTGCACTCTATTCTGGACAACTCGATTGCCGATCTTGGGCTAGAGCTAACATTTTCGGCGGAGCAGTCCAATTTTGGCAAGTTGGAGGTGGTCGACTTGATTCCGGGTGGCAGAAATGTCTCAGTGACGAACGAAAACAAGATGGAGTACGTGAAACTCATTACTCACCACCGAATGGCGACAGGCATTCGTCAGCAGATCGATGCGTTTTTGAAGGGATTCCACCAGCTAGTACCTCCGGAGCTGATTGCCATCTTCAACGAGAACGAATTGGAGTTGTTGATCTCGGGCATGCCTGAGATTGATATCGATGACTTGAAAGCGAACACGGAGTATGCCAACTACAAGCCCACGGACCCGGTTATTCGCTGGTTCTGGGACGTGCTGTACTCGTTCACACACGAGGAGCGTGCGCTTTTCCTGCAATTTGTCACAGGTACCTCGAAGGTGCCTCTCGAAGGTTTCAAGGCGTTGGAAGGTATGCGCGGCACTCAGAAGTTTAACATTCACAAGGCTTTTGGTAACAATAATGCGCTGCCATCCGCACATACGTGGTAAGTTTTGTGCATCTGTGATTGTAAGTAAGTATGGAATGACCTAACATTATGTTTGCTGCCGCAGCTTCAACCAGTTGGACCTACCAGAGTATGAAAGTGAGGACAAGCTGAAGCAACGTCTTCTACTCGCTATCCGCGAAGGCTCGGAAGGCTTCGGCTTTGGCTAGTTGAACCATTTCACTATGGATATATATACATACATCAGCATTCCTGTCATACCACTCGAACGTGTGTGAACTTGTTTACATCGTGACTATGAGCTGCAGATATACGTCCTCTTATGTACGTACAGGTGTACAGGCGCAGTATCGCTGGATCACCATTCACTTCGTGAGCTGAATGCCCTACCCAAAAAGTATGAATGTATCAACACGCTCCGTCGGTACGCTTACGCTGCGAGCCAGCTAGGCTACACGTCTATATCTATTTGCGTCGCTTGTACTTTGCCTTCGACTTGAACGAGCTCGAGCTCTTCTTGGCGTGTTTCTTGTAGTCCGTGACCTTCTCCTTGAACTCGAATGGCTTGTGGTGCGCGCTAGCATCACGCTGTTTCCTGGGCTTCAGAGCCTCGTCACGTGTCATGTCAACGTCGAACGCACCTGACCCGTGGCTGCTTCGAGCTGCGCGAGCCTTCTCACGTCTGAGGCGCTTTCGCTCGTGCATTTCGGCAATCGACTCCTCCTCGCGCGAGCGATTGGTCTCCTGCTGCACCTTTTTGGCGCGCTTGGCAGCACCAGCGACGTGTGTCGACGTGAACACAGCAGCCTTTTTGCTCTCGTGACCACTGCCGTCCTCTTCACGGTTCGCGTCCGCAAGCATCCGCTCTTCGCGCTCGCGAATCTCAAACAGCCGACGCTTCTTGTGGCTCATCGTCTTGAGCTTCTTCGCACGCGTCACGGTTTCCTCAGTCTCAGCTCCTTCTTTCAACGCCTTCTCCTGGTTGCGACGCTCGTCCTCAGCACGCTCATTCACATTTTTCTTTTCTCGTTCAGACATAAACCACGTGCGCGCAGGACGGGAGATGATCTCGTCACGGTGCCTCAGCATGTTCGTAGCCCGAGTGGCCTCTTTTTCGGCTTCACGCACACGCTTCTCCAGGGTCTCATCGTGCATTACCAGCTTCACGTCTTCCTGCATGCTCTCAATGCGAGCTTTCCACTGCGCAATGACCGGATCAGGAACAGCGCGGGACTTGACGAACCCATTGCAATGCCGTGAAACTTGTTTCATCACCAAACGGCGTGACTCACTCGTCAGTGTGACGGCACGACCATTGCGACCAGCTCGGGCCGTTCGACCAACACGGTGCACATACGTCGTTATATCCTTCGGCATTTCATAGTTGATGACAGCGTGCACACCGCGCACATCGATACCACGGGCAGCAATATCAGTACACAGAAGAATGTCAACAGTGCCATCACGGAACTTCTGAAGCGCCTCGAGCCGTTCTCTCTGCATCAAGTTGCCATGGAGTTCGGCAGCCTTGATACCAGCTAGACCGAAGATGATCATCATTCGGTGCGCGTGCGACTTGGTCTCCATAAACACAATCGTGTTTGTACGGAACGTACGCGTACATAGTGCCAGGAGAATCGCCTCGCGATCGTCTTCACGATTGGGGCGAATACGCACAAACTCCTGTACCAAGTGCTTAGCCATGTCGAACAGTGGGTCCGTGCTAATGCGCACCGGACGCTTCATCGAGAGACCAATCAGCTGGTCAACTTTGGACGTCATCGTGGCAGAAAACAGCATCGTCTGACGTTGCACAGGACACATACGGACAAGCTCTAGCACTTCGTCCGTAAACCCCAACTCAAGCAGCCGATCGGCTTCATCCAGTACTAGAATTTCTAGATCATCCATGTGAACGCTCTTGGAGTTACGCAGATGGTCAATCATACGGCCAGGTGTGCACACTACAACGTCTGGGCGGTTCCTCAGCTCAGCTTCCTGAACCTTGAGCGGCAAACCACCCACCGCCAGTGAGATTGTAATGTCCGTGAAACGCGCCAACTGTTCGAACATCGACTGACACTGCGTCGCAAGCTCACGAACGGGACAAATAATCATCACACGCGTCGACTGTACGCGGCGCGAGCGATACTGAAGACGCTCCAAGATAGGCAGCAAGAAAGCAGCAGTTTTACCACTACCGGTTTGGGCACTAGCGCAGATATCTTTGCCCGCAAGTGCGATAGGAATAGCTCGCTGCTGAATAGGTGTTGGCTTCTCAAAACCAACATGCGCAATCGCACGCATCAGTGGACGCGACAGCTTCAAGTCTGCAAACGTTTCAAACTTGGTCTTGGCAAACTCCTGTGCTGCAAACGGGTCCGAGTCAAAAAACTCGGCAGCCTTCTTCTTTTCCAGCGCGTCCACCATCTTGTCGATCGCCTGCTGGTCCTTATTGCCGTCCTTCAGCGCCGTCTGCAAACGCGCTTCCTCCACCACATCGTCCTCTTCTCCCACCTCGTGCTGCTCCTCACTGTCGGAACAGCTCTCTTTCGTCTCGTCTTCACTGTCGCTAGACCCTTCAGTTTCCGCCTCCACTCCCTCACTCTTTTCACTGCACCTCATCCCCTTGATCTTCATCTTCTCCTTCTTCTTCTTCTTCTTCTTCTTCAACTTTAGCTCCTCCTTCTTTTGACGCCTCTTGTCGATCTTTGTCTGAATAGACGTGCGCTTCGAGACACCACTCTCCATCTCGTCAATTCGTGAAATGGCCGTCGTAAAGTCCCATGAGCTGCCACCGGACGCATAAAAAGTACCACCGCTGTCGTCAAACTCAAAGTTCTCGGCGATCTCGCGCTCATTCGACTGTTGCTGCTGCTGCTGCTTGTGACTGCTCTGGACCTCTCCCTCTTGCTCGTCTCCCGATTCCGAGCTGTTCTCCACGTCCGACACCTCGTCCTCGGACGCGATCGTCATCACCAGATCATCGGTCGCCAGCTCCCGTGTCGAGCCCATAGTCCTTTCGATTCAGCTCGTGAGCAATGACAGCCAGCAATTGTGGACCCTTTCAGTGGCTCAATATCAGCCACTTATCGACAAGTATCGCGTCTCCAAGTGGCTACATCGCAGCGAGAACAGAAACGAGGCTCGTGCTTTCTTGTGCCCTTGCCACTTTGTAAGAAAAGATGAAAACCTTGCGACGTCAAGTGTCGCGTTTTTGCTTTTTTGGTAGTGACGCCAGCATGAGCTGTCACTTTTGTACCGCAACATCGATTGCGATCTTCGTGCTGAATAGTGTACATGCAAAGGCGTTAGGAAAAGACATGATAAGGCACAATGCACGTTTCACAACTTGTGAAATAGCCACGAAAGGCAACGATGGGGTGTTATCTTGTCCCACAATTCGAGCCCAAGCCAGCAATGCGAAAAAACTCTTTGCACGCGGTCGTGCCGGTAATTAGTGGGAACAGTAACGGTTGGTATCGTCGATTTGAGCCTCAAAAGTATGAGGTGGTGTGCTGTACTTGTTGAGCTTCCATCGGCCACAACCGGCGTCTCACGCCAGCCCTTCTCTTACAACACACGACAGCAGCGGTAATGCTTTCGCAATGAGTCAACATCAAACGCTGGTCTCACTTACCTCGCAATCTAAAATATCCTGCAATTTCAAATGCTAGCAAGCGAAAAGTAGCCTGGTCGTTCCTGTGTCGCAGCGCCGACATTGTGGTGTTTTGGGTGGCAGACGAAAGTGTGTTTGCAGCAAGTAGCATGATTTCTGTATCGGGACCGCTTACCAACTCTCGCATTTCTCTTCGTATCGCATCCATAACAACAAACTGTACTTCCCGTTCGTGATGTCTGGCTGATGATTGTCGTCTTCATCTTCGATGCCAAACAGAATGTCCACCTCCAGGCGACCCACGCAACAACCCTACGTTCTTGACATGGTATTGCGTCTTCAAGTACACTCGGCGATAAGACACGTCGAAGTGGCTCTGTGCCGCAGAGCACAACGAAAAGCTGGTGGCTGCATCGTGACATTTGCGTCAACGTATATTGTCAAGCAACACCGATGCGTTGTCTCACAGATCACGATTTGGCTGCCGCCTAGTTGACCGGTAGTCCATCAAGTGATGAAGTGTGCTCGATACAATTACCTTCAAGCGTTGCAGATAACTTGCAAGTCACCTAGGATAATTGTCGAGGCGGTGCCAGTATACGGATCTTTTGTAGCACGATGCAGTGGAATGGTCACATAGACAGATGACTGACATTTGACAAGAGCGCACGTTTCTGAGAGCACGACTACCCAAAGCTTTGTGCGCAACACGTGAGGTGGACAAGAAATGGGGGGGCACCGATAAGCTGTGCTTATCGTGTGGAGCGAATATGCTGAAAGACTTTTGGAGACCCCGCGACTCCTGCGGCAGCAGTTGGCAACTCCACCTGTCCCTATTCCGTGTACCATTTCGTACAGAACAGTATCATGAACGTCATAGTGGCATCTCAGGGCTATGTCGATCCCGTTTCGCGCAGCAATCACCCCGTCCGTTTAAAGGTGGCTAGCATCGTGCATGCATCTATTCAGACAGCGACATGCACACTTGCGACGTAGTAAGCACAGCCGAAGCTGCGAATTTTTCTAGGCAAACATCATAGCTAAAGCAGTTAATTGCGTCTGTTGACCACAAAGAGTCGTTGATCATCCACCACCTGATCGAAGGCTGGCTGAGCCTTGACGGGTTTTTCGTGAAGAAAAGCTGAATAATGCCCTGTGAAGCTCACCGAAAATGTCGATTTGCTTACGGGTTGGAGCTGTGACATCGAGCGCGGGCTAACCGCACCGATGAAAGCCTTTGCATCCACGTTGCTTCTTGAATGACTCGAGCCAAAACCGCAGACTGAACTTTTTACTTGCATTGTCGCGCGGCAAACGACAATCATACGTCTTTGTGATTGATTCTGCTGTGACACAGGTAAATCTATTGTCTTGCTAATGCGATATCGATACCTGAGTCGTCGCCACCTTTGCCACCTCCGCTATCGCTACGAAGCGGGAGTATGACAGTGCTCCGAAAGTCTGACGGAAGTATGAAGTATGTCTTGAATATCACGCATGTAAGCCCCAGCTCTCGAACTCACAAACTGGACCCCAGTGAGCTACGATATCGAGTGATGTAGCACATTAGCTGAGGTCGTGCTTCCACAGGCTGCTGGAGCAAAATGTCAAGAAATGTGCGCCTACGTCTGTTAACGATCAGACGTAGTCACGCATATACTTGTAAGCTCGGAGCGTGTAAGTTTGCCGGTGCTATTCGAGAAATTTGTCCACTGCGGGTACCATAATCATTGCCCGCCCCTTCGCAATATGTCGACCGTTAGTCAAATGCCCGACAAAAGGAATTCAGCCTGGTGCATATATGGGTTGTCAGACAGCTACGTAGAAAAACAGTCATAACGCATTCTTGCGTCCATCACTGCCTTTGTTACCCCCTGAGTCGCCAGCATGTGACGTTTCGATCGTTCGCACAGTTCAGAAAATGCTTAACGGGCTGTATATCTGACATCAGGCAAAGAAAAAGGGTACCAAAGCCGCGCTAGATCTGGTGCGACATCACGTCGTACCAGGTTATGCCCTGTCTTCAAGCTACACATATCTAGGCAATCAGCGGCTTTCACTTTCCCCCAAATGCTGCATTCTCCACTAGGTATACGCATATTGACAGACGCTGTCATTCCTTTTCGAAAAAAAGAAGAAAATCGACCGCCCTATTCTTAATTAGAGAGATTTCCTTTTGCCTTTCATTCGGGAACCACCAGGCAACTCGAAAATGAGCAGTCCGCGGCGCGGTTCGCGCATGCGCCGCAAGCCCACGCCCATCTATCAGACAGAAGACACGCGTGTCAATGGTGAAGAGTCCACCGCTAACGAAGAACAGCAAGACGCAGTGCTTGCCGACGAACGGGGCGAGGACAGCAGGTAAAGTAGTACTGTACCTGTGCCAGTGCGCACAAGAGTGATGGTCGGTGCGCATTGTCGCGTCAACTTTCACGTCACTTGTTCTTTGTATGCTGAAGTCTCCAATCGACTAACTCAACTGATAATACGATTGTGAAGTAGCGATGAAGAACCACATGCTGACGACGACGAGGAGTTTGCGCCATGTGGCACGAGAGCTCCGAGTACGGCCAAAGCGGCACAGACGCCAAGCAGTAACGCAAGGCCCAGTAGACGCAAGCGCTCGCCGTGGAGTCAAACGAGAAGCTCAAGATCAGCTCAAGGGAGCCGGAGAACTACTAAAAGCGCTGCAGCACAAGTGAAAGATTTGGGGATTGCGACGGGACCCCCAGGCAGTGACAGCGGTCCAAGTCACGACAACGGCATCTCGTTATTTGGTGTGTACACACCATTTTTATCGTTGTGACAAATTCAAGTTGTGCTTACTTGTCGGTGGATTGCTGCGTGGACTATGTAGAGGCTGTCAAGGGCGGCAAAGCGTCGCTGGAAAAGCTGCTGAGCGAGTGGCGTGAGCGCTTTGAGCACGACAGCGACAGGGCAACGAAGGAAGTGCTGGAACTCGTGCTACAGGTAGAAGCACGTGCGGACGTGCCGGCTTCAAGCTACTGTCATGAGCGTGCATCTGATGCTTTTGTGTCGGTTGTATAGGCCTGTGGAAGCACGAGTTCACGTCTTGGTCGATTGGTGTCTGTGGCTGAACTGGATCTAGAAGACGTGACGAGTCACGTACAAGAGGATCTGGACGATGCGAACGGAGAGTATTGGATCATGTCTCGTGGGAGAGGCATTAAGAAATTTCAGCGCCATTTCGAGGAGTTCTGGGAAGCGTTTGTGAACGAATGCTATGAAAGCGATCTTTTGTTCACGTCCGACGTTGTTACGAAGTTTGTGGATTGGCTGACGGTTCTGTCAAGGTAACTGAATTTCTGTGTGTGTCGCATGAAAAGGCGAGCTTACTAATTGGTGTTATTGCACCGTTTGTTGACAGATCTGAACTTCGGCCTATACGACACACGTCAGCTGTTGCTATCTTGGCGCTAAGCGTTGCATTGGTGCGTACGGCAGCGAGCATTTCTGAACAACTAGCGATTGCGAAGAGACAACTCAAGGCCGAGACAAACTCGCCTGTCGCGGCTACGCCTGGTAGCGCCCGCAAAAGCCCGAACGTCCATAAAGTAGCACTGCTGAAGGATAACGAGGCGCTGTATGAGAACCGACTACAGCAGGTTCTGAAGCTCGTCAACTCGATATTCACCGAAGTAGTCGTGCACCGGTATCGTGACGTGATGCCGGAGATTCGTGTGGTGAGCGTACAATGCCTGGGCCACTGGATCACCATTCTGCCCGACCATTTCTTGAAGGACAATTTTTTGAAATATCTTGGCTGGTGTTTGAGCGACAAAGCAGCTTCAGTTCGCCTCGAAGTAGTTGCGATATTGTGCGAGCTATACGAGAAGGATGCGTTCACGGAGAGATTGGAGTTATTCAACTCTCGCTTCTTGCCCCGTTACATGGAACTCTGCAACGACGTGGACAACGCTGTTGTGGAGGAAAGCATTCATCTCCTGATTGCAATCGACAAACACAGTCTCATCAGCTCTGACGTAGAGCTTCCAGCTGTGGAAAAACTGGTGTTCGACGCTGAGCGTGACAGCATTCGCAAGGTTGCTGCGGAGTTTGTGTGTCTTCAGTACGATGCATTTGGTATTGCGGTGTCAAAGACGAAAAATGCACAGCTGAAGAAAGAGCAGCTCAATACGCAGGCAATTGCTCTGGTAGAATTTGCGGAAGAATATATTCAGAGTCATGGTATACCAGAGAGCGCAGTGGAGACGCTTGTTGATGCTTTCTGGGAGCTGGATGATTGCCGTAAGCTCAAGCTTTGCTTTCATGCATTCATGGCCTCTTGGCTGCTAACTATGATTTATGTTCATGATGCAGTTGTGCTTCGGGACTGGAGGCTGATGACGGACTTGCTTTTAGTGGACAAGAGCGCGCCAGACCTGAGCTGCAAGCAGCAGACTATCTTGCTACGGCTTCTTGTTGCGTCCGTAAGCAAGCTTGTGGAAAATAGCACGAACCGAGGTGCAGGTGCTGCTACTAAACGAGAATCTGAGCAGTTGCAAGTACGTGACATCATTTCTACGCGTGGTTTCTATATTACCGCGTTAATGCTAAGCATGTTGTCCGTTCGCGATGATACAGGAAGAGATCACCGTTGCGTACTGCAAAGACATTCCTAGCTTGTTCGTTATGTACCAAGCTGACTCCGACAAGCTGTCATTGCTTTTGCAACTTATTCCGATGCTGTCACTGAAGAGCGAGATTATTGGTCATCATAGCAACCATGTCAAGGAGCTTCTGGAGAAGCTGAAACACGCATTCTTGTTGCACTCTGATGAAGAGTTGCTTTCAAGTTTGTCGCTCTCCGTAGCCCACCTGCTGCAGACCGAGCATACTTCATTGAAACGAGAGGTTGAGGCGACCATGCACGAGCTAGTGCAAGAAATCATGGACAAATTGGATCGACTCCTGGAATCTGATCTGAAGCTGTACGACACATTTGCGACTGCTGGCGACGGCACGCCCACAACGAGAAACAAAGGGGCTAGAAGTGGAAAGAAGAAAAGTGCGACGGTCAAGCAACTGTCGGACGTCGAGTATGCTCTGCGCATTGCTCTGTGTCGGCTCAAGTGTCTGGTGAGACATGTGAATATCCGAGGATATATTCCCCCGGACTCATCGTCCATACTGGACAAAACTGGCCGAACGGCCGCTTCGGATCCACAGCAAGGACAGATGGAAAAGCTTGTCAGAGCGATTGGCGATTTGTTGTGTCGGCGTACTAGATCGGTCTCCGAGTTACACGAAGAATTTCGTCATCTTGACACAATCAAGCACGGCCTGACGATACTGTTTTTCGACTTGTTGTGGATCACCTTGCCGATATTTGAGACCGCTGCGGAAAAGAAGACGCGTGATTCCTCCGGCAATACGAGGGATGATGCCGAAGCCAAGGTGGACCTTTCCACTCAGGTTCAGATCCAGGAAGTATGCCGATCGCGGTCTACGCTTGAGGAGGCGTTGATTTCAGTGCTGGAGATGCACCTGGCTAGACCTGATAAAGCTCGTGATGACAAGCACGAGCGAACGGAAGAAGCTTCTGAGCGTCAGCTGATGGAGTCGATGGAAGAAATGGACTTTGAAGGCGAAGATGTGGCAGTATTCGTGGATGATGCCCAATCTTTTGCATTCATCACGTTTTGCGATGCGCGTTGTTTGTTTGTGGAAAAGTTTCAGGAGGCAACAGCGCCGTACGACGCACTCGATTGGACGTTGCCAAAGGTGCTCGTTCTGCTTACGCAAACATTCTTCGAACGGAAGATGGATGAAGCCGAAGAAAGAGAACCAGAATATGAAGACGATGTCGTTCAGAACGACCCTGCTATGTTGAAGGAAAAAATGGATGCTATGCGCGAGTGGGACCAAAAGCAGCAACGAAAAGCTGAGCTGCTGGTTGCGCTCGGCCGAGTTACACTTTGTAACCCGAGCAAGAAACATCAGGCTGCGGCGGTTCTGCAGTACTTTACGTCAAGCGGTAAGCTTAGTGTCGAGGTGGTAAAGGCCTACGGAAAGCAAGTGAAAGCAGACGCTCCCGTGCGTTACCTCGAAATTCAAATGACGTCTCTTCGCCAACTGTATAGCTCGATCCTCTTATGGAAGCAAAACATTGAAGCGGCTGAACCAGGGAACGATAGCGACCAGGTGTCGGAGGAAGATGATCTACAGGATAAGGTGAACAGCAGTAAGCAGGAGTTGAAAGAGCTGGCCAGGAGGTTCAGCCAATCTCTTGGCGTGGGGAAGGTCTCAGCATCACTGCGGGTGCCATTTTTGCGATTTCTACGCGAAGGTATTCGATATGCTTTGGAGCAGCCGACGCAGTTCGAGTTTCTGGAAGCTATGCGCGTATACCTCACGCATCTGGACAAACCGAGTATGGCACAGCTAAGTGCTTATTTTATAGACCAACTGCAAAGAGTCCGCGACACTCGTGACGGCAGTGGCGAACTGGATCCCAGGTGGCGGGCTGTATTGGACTTCCAGTCATCCATCTCTTCCACCGGTAGTACAATAGGAAAGACGCAAATGGCAACTGAAGTCATGCACTCGCCTCCGCTGAAAAGCAAGCTGCGGTCTGCAAGCTCTGAACCTACGCCGATGCAGACCACATCTATTGCAGAGGAGGTTGAAGATGAGAACACACGTGATGAAGGCAAAGAAAGGGAAAGTATTGCCGGCAATCAAAGCGATCTGACGATGACTGCAGACGGTAGCAAGGTCGACCATGATCATCGACAAGAGCGATCGGTACATGAAGTCAATAGTGCGGCTGATGACAATACGAAGTCGACGCAGTCATTGCAAAATCGAAAGCGACCCCGAGACGAACGCATTGAGAAGCCGGTCGCTTACAGCAACGTGTCGAAGCAGGGCGGAGGTGAGAGTGAGCATCGCACTGTTGCAGAACAGGATGATGGTGCGCCATCTCGAAGCGATCAGGACGTGCAGCCGACTAAACGCAAAGAGAGAGGCAACAATGAGAAAGGTGCAGAGGAGAGTGTGTGGAGAAGTCGGCGTAAACGACCTCGAGCGTGAAGGCCGTGCGAGTATTTAGTCTCTTAGCAAAGACACTTGGATTGCAGTTGTTATGCTGCGGAAGCCTTTCAACGAAAGGATTCCAATAAATGACAACGTTTTGGTTTCGTATTGAAAGCTCGATTCGATAACTAGTTCTTTTGCCGACACCTGCAACGAAGTCTGCAAGGACGCAATTCAATGGACTGTCGGACCGCTGCACAAGTCTCTGTGCTGTTGCAGTGAGTATACTTGTGCCGTTTGAATGTGGATTTCGGAGTTGCTGGTTGGGCCTACTGGAGTACAGAAACGGCAGCGATGAGTGTTCGTGTGACGCCCCTACCGCCTAATTTCTCATCGGGCGGCAACAACGACGCTGGTGCCATCAGACCTATCCACGTTTCGCTCGTCCTGTAGTAGCTGTCCCTTCGAGCCTGTCGCCGATGCCGCCCAGAAGCTGCAAGATCGATCGGGGAATCGCTCACGACGATAGTGATGATGGGTGTACAGACACACTGCAGCATCGAATGACTGCGATTGCTGTGGCAGCATCTCGTGCAACTATGTCGGACCTGTTTTTTGTAAGTCTTCGTAGCACTGATAAGGGTATGTTGCATCTGCGTATGTTATCGTCGGCGTAGCGCCCATCTGAGAGGTCCTCAATGAGCGCATACCAATGCAATCGCTTCTGATGTCTTGAGGTCACAAATATATTGTCGGCGCGGTCCGGTCGTGGGCAAAGTCGGGTCTTTTCTATGCTATTGATGTCGATCATGCGCCTTACGCTGACCAGGGCGTGCGATTGACAGGCCGTAGCTCGGTCGGTGATCGCGAGATCAGGGGTACAGAGCTTCAAAGGCTAAGTGTAACGGGGTTACACGTCGACTGGTAGTCGACAATAGGTGTGGTGCACACAAGGGATGGGATCCCTTTTAAAGTGATATTAGAACACAGGATCAATTGTTGAAGACTAATGTCTGTCAACCATTGATTACGAGATCTTTTGAGAGGTTTATTTAGGACATTAGCGAGTAGGTTTATATCGTTGTTCTAAGATGTTCTTTTAGGTTAAGTAGAATTAAAATTTAGTTCCCATTTTGATCAACATAAGACACGTGCCTCTTTGAGGCGTCTTGTGATCGTGGAGGAGATATCAACGCCTTGCTAAGGCAGCTACTCCTTGTGCACTCTGTGCGTCGATTCTCCGAATCGTTTGGTCCCCCTGGAACAAGGACCGTAAGCTCTCTGAGATTGTTGACTCCTTGAGTTGGGTTCTTTGAACCAAAGTTGCTCGTAGAGCGTTAAGTCTTCCTCTGACTTAAGGAGCTATGTAGCTCCGCCACACTAAGTGAAGGCAACATGTAGGCATTTTCTCGCGTATTTGTGGTTGCCGTTATCATGAAGAAACGTAGTTCAGCGACCTCCTGTGCTGGAGCCAACGGCTCTAGAGAACTGACTTTAAATGTCGCTTTATATCCCGGTTTCAACATCGCGATATCATCTATACAGCGTAGACTTTCCAAACAAAGGCTTCAACAGCACATCGAGGGTGGTCCCATTACTTTCATCAGATGCAGAGCTGGGGCTCACATATATGAAGGCAGAAATGGGCTTGGCACTCAAGCGGATGAGTAGATTCTGGCTTTACTTGGTGGAGCCACTTGTGTGTCCAGCCCACTCCCTCTTCTCCTTTACGTACCTCAAGTGAATAGATAGCCGATCTCAGCGAGCACAAAATAGCGAGCACAGATCAGCGATCCATAACTTGGCGATTTGAACGAAGTGAGTACAGCTCAGCGAGCATATATCAGCGATTCGACCTCTGCGAGCGCTCGGGAATCACGACAGACGCTAATCGCAACTTTACATCTCTCTCTTGTGATAAGAAAGAAGAAAGTACATACCTATAATGATCAACTTCCGATACTACTACTCGAGTGCGCTTCCGTTATCCCCTCTCATTCTTTTTTCGTCTTCCATGGATGTCCTTAACCTTTCTTAGCATTCTATGGATTTTCTACCCAGTGACATGACTGAGACGTCATCTCTGCTTCATCCTGGTCCGACCAATTGTCAGCTCATTTCATATCATTTCATATCATTACCAACCAGACCAGAATCAGCCATTATGAACCCACGCGCATGGGACGTAGTACACAGCGAGCGCTCACGACACACAGAGTAGCAGTAGAGAGTATCTGTGGAGCGCTACGCGCTATCGCTAGCATTCAATATATCTCAGTTTTACCACACATCCCAGAGTTGCCTTCCAACAAGCTCCTCTAGACCGATCGGTCTCTCTGATAGCCAAGGGCTGTCATTTTGATTAGTCAAAATTGAATTGGAACTGAAGAATCCCTTCTCATCGCCATGGGTCGGAAAGACGACGACGAGGAGTACGTCATGTACACAATCGTCACGTGTCCAGCAACGGACGAGCTCCCAGCGGCCACCGCAAAGATCAAGATCCCCAAGTTCTAGGAGGGACCTCACAGAGCTGGCTTAACTGGAGTATGCGCTTTAGGAGCCTCGTTGCGCGGAAGCACTGGCCCACGGAGCAAGCAGCAAGCCAGCTCATGATCCTCATCGAAGGAGAGCTTGGACAGGATTGGACGCTCGCTCGACAAGCAGTCAAAGAAAATGCCTCGTTCGAGGACTTCTAAGACCAGATCGGTATGCTGATGGTTCCTAGCGACTTCAGCGAGGACCTCGACGAAGAGCTGTGGTCACTAACCGAGAGACGCGACGAGACGATACAAGCTCTCAGTCGCCAATTGAAGGAGCTCGTGCGCCTCTTAGCGGAGCTACCGATGAGCACCAAGGTCATTCCGGAGGTGCAGAAATTCCGCTTCTTCAAGCGCGCCATGCCGAAGGACTCGCACGACAAAGTTGCAGCCGCGGACGACCATTGCGACAAGCTGACGGCGCTTGTTCTGTACTTCGAGCGCCTCTAAAAGCGTGATAATGTCAACAACAGCAACATCAACAACCAAACCGGCGGCTAGGTCTCTCGCGTTTCAAACGCAAAGAAACATGAGTCCGACGAAAGAAATCAGAAGCACAACACCACGAGCAGGGGCAACAGCACTTCAAAGCCAAAGCCCAAAGGCAAGTGGTGCACATTCCACAATACCGACTCGCACGACGACGTCGACTGCTTCGTCCTCAAGAAGCAGCGTCATGATGAGAACAAGCAAGTGGAAGTTAAATCAAAGTAGACGACAAAGTAACACCCTAGCATATACGACTTAAGCGACATTAAAGACGAGATCAAGCTGATCGGCTTACTGGAGAAAGATACAGCAAACAAGATCGCGTCGCTGCGCATCAAGGTGCAGGTTCCACACGGCAATTGCGCGTCCGACGCTCTGTTTGACATCAGTGCATCAAAGAGCATCATCAATGCAACCACGATGATCGCCAACCTTAATCACGGAAGCAATCTCTCTCCCTCATCTACAACGTTCAAGACAGTTGGCGGCGACGTGACGATCAGCGGCTCCACGATGGTGCAGTTCCTCTTCCCCCAGCTCAATTCTTCGACTACAATTACTCTTTTTCAGTAATCGACGACAGCCAATACAAGATGGTCATCGGACTTGATCCCATGGATTCGCTCGTAATTGTGCTCAATTTCAAAGACAAACTCGTCCTGTGGGACGGACAATAAACATCTCTCACCACGGGTGGAAGTGGCACAGCATCGGTTCGCGCGGACACTCGTGATCGCGAGGTTTCAGATGACTACAAGGAGGTCGTTGACGACGGTGTCCATCCTACCGACTTGGCGCCCGATCAACTGCCGGCACCTCTCGCCGCTCGCGTCCCAAAGCTTTTGGAGTAGCATCAGCTACTGTACGACAGTCACTTGGGTCGAATGCGTTTTGACGACTACGTGCCCACTGTCGCCGGAATTCCGTGCCGTTCATGCAAGTCCGTACGAACTGCCTCGCTCGATAAAAGCCAATGCCAAGGACGAGACCCAGCGCGTGCTTGAATTATTTGTGCTTGATCAAATCTACGACTCCGAGATGGTATCGCCAGCCTTCTTGATCACGAAGCCAAATGAATCCCTGCGTTTGTTTATCAACTTCCGAGTGCTGAACAAGTACCTGCGTCGCAGTCCGTATTACGTTCCCAAGATACGCGAGATTCTTTTGCGTTTGTCTGGCGCCAAGTTCTGCCCTATGTTCGACCAAAACATGGGATATTATGTGGTAAAGTCACGGATCAAATGATGGGACGTGGATCGGTGACCACCCAGTTGGGTTGTCACTCTATGGTGAAAAATGATATCCAGGGACCTAGTAATTCAATAAGGAGATGGAAAGCGATCTCAACGGGGATCGGCGATCCGATCCAACTGTCTCCAGACTGATGGACATGGAACGACCGGAGACAGAGCGATCTGGGACAAGACGAAACTTAGAACGATTTCCATGGAGCGATCTGGGACGAGGAAGTGGGACGAAGTCATACAATTTACCTGAATGTTAGTCAAGGAGAAGGATACGTATAGAGCGATCTGGGACGAGGAAGTGGGATGAAGTCATACAATTTACCTGAATATTGGTCAAAGAGAAGAATACGTATAGCAACGGTCGTGGATATTGTGGCCAAGTCATTCTGGAAAGATGCATCTGGGACCAGGTGATGCGATGCGAAATGACTCTGGGACGAAGGTGTAACATCCTGCAGATCGGTAATACTCTTTACCGATCTCACAATGAAGGAACTGATTTAGGTTAATTATATCCCGATCTGGAAACGTGGATACTCGTGGACGTCTAGGGAGCTATGTGGAGAGTTTTGTGGACCAGATAAACCCTGAAGGGTTATATTAGAGCACGAACAATGAACAAAGAACATTTACTGCTAAATTGTACCGTGTCGATCTCAACGATGTCAAATTTGGGCACCAGATCGGTCATGTTTCTGTTGATTATGGATATATAGCTGATGAGACTTTAAATATCATGATGAATATGTTTGTTGAAGGTCCATGAGTGATGATGCAAAAGCTCTGACCGAAAGAGCCATTGGAAGCCGGTTGAATTGGCGTCGCAAAATGGATTTAGGCACATTTGGCACTTAAGTACTATTTCGGACCTTTTGGTACCAAAATTGGGAATTCGGTATCATATTTGGGATTTGGTCTCTTCTGGACATTAAGGCACGATATCGAGAATATTGACGCTATCTTTGGAGTACAGGTCATGAAATTCCGACACGTGTTCAAGGGACGGTCAAGATTAAGGGTGATATCGGTTTGAAGAGTGACCTACAGTTTGGGATAGGCTTACAGATAGGTTGGCTAGTAAATTAGTTCGTTAATAAAACAGACTTGAACTCTACTTCTTCTGCTCACGACGCGCGCTCCCTCCCTCTCTTCCGGGCAGGATGTCTTTGGCTTCTCCTACGGTTTGAGGCACGCGTGCTACAAGGACATTGAAGGCAGATCTTCGATTGTTGTCTAATATCGAGAAGAGCGATCTCGGGAAGTTTAGCCCGGATCGATCAAGTTCTCACACTTATCTCAACTGCTAGGGTAGCAGCGACAAGGAAAAGGATTTAGGTTTCAAGATCGCGAGACGGCTCAAGTGATCGGAAAACCTGGAAAAGGAGTTCAAGACAAGACCGAGCGAGATCGAAGCGATCCACAAGGCAGATCGGCCCGTTTCATTTTGGCGAAACAGGACACCTATCTGCCCACATTGCGCTTTTCGAGCAAGATCGGCCGATCACAAGACCAGATCGGACCGATCCCAAGGCAAGATCGACGCAAGATTACGATGTGCTGAGTGAAGATTCCCGCACAACAAAGACCCCGATCCCGAAGACAAATCGAGATCGGTGTGATCCAAGATCAAGATCGTGAAATCTCTAAATAGAGATCGCCGCGACTCAAGATCAGAATCGCAAAACCCCTGTTCGTGATGTGAAGATTTCCGCATCGAAAGCGAACTCTTAACCCAACCCCTCAGCGAGATCGACATCTCTCAAGGCCGTTACGAAGATCTCAAGCCAGCCCAACCGACTGGTACACAAGGTGAGCACGAGGCTCAACAACAAGGCACGGATCGGAGTACCCCCTCCGTGAGTCGGCAAGTCTGGGCAAGTGGAAGATCTACCCTCACTCAAGCAATTTTGTGAGATCGACTTCACCACAATTATGCCAGGCTACTTTTTAAGCAGATTCTAGCTCACATGGCGTTCTGTCTTCCATTCGGAAAGTATCAGTACAAACGTCTGCCAATGGGGACTCAACGGCACCCGATGCGTATCAAGCTTGCATGGAGAAGATCTTCGGCAATCTCCCGTTTGTGGTCGTTTACTTATATGACTTACTTGTGTACTCCAACACCAAGATCGAGCACCTTGAGCACCTGCGTGTGCTGTTCAAGCGTCTGGACAAGTGCGACGTGACACTCAATGGAAAGAATTGCCACGTGCTGTGCAAGTCTGTCGGCTTTCTCGGCTTTACACTAACAGCTTAGGGTATTCAACCACGACAAAGTGCTTAATGCGGGCCTTCGCCATCACGGGGATCGTCACGGCCTTCTTGATGGCGTCAATCATGTCCGGGTCGCTCATGCGCGCGACGCCGCCGTCCACGCGGATGTCCGCGGGGATGCGCTCGAGCGCAATGACCGCCACGGCGCCAGTCTCTTCGGCGATGCGGGCCTGCTCGACGTTCGTCACGTCCATGATCACGCCGCCCTTAAGCATCTTGGCGAGTCCGGCCTTGACGAGGAACGTGCCTTCGGTGGGGGCTGAGGCCGACGTGGTCTGCGGGGCGAAGAAGATACAAGAAATGAACACGATCGCCGTTCCTTACAACAAGAAAGAGCTGCGTCGCTTTCTGGGCATAATCAATTATTATCGCGATATGGTCCCCAAAAAGTCAGCACTTTGTGCACCGCTGTACCGCTTCACGAGCTCTGAAGTTGCATTCACATGGCTGCAAAGCGACACCGACGCTATAAGCGCCTTCCAGAAGGCGTTTGCAGAAGCTGTGTTGCTGGCGTTCCCTGACTTTGACCTCCCGTTGCACGTCTACGCTGATGAAAGTGGAAATCAGCTCGGTGGCATCGTGATGCAAAGAAACAAGATCCTCGCCTGTTACTCTCGCACGCTCAACAATCATCAGATCAACTACACACCGATGAAGCTCGAGCTCCTGCCGATTGTGGAGCTGCTTCGCGAGTATCGTACCATGTTGCTTGGCTTAAAGGACACTGTGCTCACCTATCACAAAAACCTCATCTATTCGAACGAAAAGAGTCCCAGAGTCAAGCGCTGGAAGCTGCTTCGTATATGTATCTTTTGTCGTTGCACTACATCAAGGGCATAAAGAACTTCGGCGCGGACGCCTTTTCCCGAATGCGATTTGACACAGCAGAGAAAGCGCAAATGCACGACGAGATCAACGCCGCGACGGATGATCCACCATGTGGCATGCACGGACCAGTCATCCGTCAGCACTAGGAGTGCGATGAAACACTCCAGACGATCAAGTATAAGTACCTCGACGGATAGAACAACCCGGTCTACGAGGTATTTGCTCTCCTAGGATGCACGCTTGTCGAATTTCAAGGTCGCGTCATTGTCCCAGACACGTTGCGTGACGACCTCCTGGATTGGCACCACCACAATCTCAGGCACGCTGGTCCTGATCGCCTGTACAAGACGATGCGACAGTCGCTCTACTGACTTGCAATGGAATCGTCGATCATTAAGCGCGTCAAGTTGTGTCTGACGTGCAAACGAGCTAAAGCCCACGGCGGAAGACAAGACTACGGACTACTACTGCCAATGACTCTCAAGACAGTGAACCCGTGGGAAGTAGTGCACGTCAACTTTATTGTTCGGTACGGTGGCTATTACGGTATCACGATCATCGATTAAGCGACACGCTGGCTCGAAGTCGGCGTTAAAATAGACAAGAACAGCCTGACAACAGCAGAGAGCTTTGACCGCGATTAAGTTATCGTTATTCCCGTCCAGCTCAAGTTTTTCATGATCTCGGTGCTGAATTTACTGGTGAGGAGTTCCAATAACTCTTGAAGAGCTACGACATCAAGTTAAAACCGATCATTGCAAAGAAACCGAAAGCCAATGCAATCTGCGAGCGCGTCCACATGAAGCGTCTCAATGTTGTTCATTGTTACGACAATATCGACTAGAAGAAATCACTGCACAAATCCGCGATCGCTTTTCGAGCCAGTTACCACAGTATCCTGAACGCATCGCCTGGCTAACTCATCTTTGGTCAGGACATTACCACATGCAATATCTACGAAGAAAAATGGAGCTACGTGCCCAAGCGGCGATTCGATGCGATTCTCACCTACAACGACCGAGAAAACGACAAACGCATTTCGCACTTTAACAACGTCGGTGACAACGTCATGGTCCGAGTAACAAAGCCGTTTCGCGCGAAGACTTGTCCAGTAGCCAATGGACCATTGAACCAACGGACGTCCACGACAAAGGCATGATCACGATCGACGAAGGATCGACCACGCAGCAAGTAAGCATCCGACGCGTGTTCCCGTGTTAGCGCACCAGTTCACAGGGGGACAATGACGTGACTGTGACTTTATCTCCACTTCATCCTGGTCAGACCAATTGTCAGCTCATTTCATATCATTTCATATTACTACCAACCAGACCAGAATCAGCCAGTATGAACCTACGCGCATGGGACGTAGTACACAGCGAGCGCTCACGACACACAGAGTAGCAGTAGAGAGTATCTGTGGAGCGCCACGCGCTATCTCTAGCATTCAGTTTATCTCAGTTTCACCGCACATCCCAGCATTGCCTTCCAACAAGCTCCTCTGGACCGATCAGTCCCTCTGCCAACCAAAGACCTGTCAACAGGACACATAAACCCACGAAGGGCTGCAACTTTCTCAGCGTCGAGAGCCTTCGTCATTAGTTCGGCGGCTTTATCTTAGACCTGACGTAATACGTAGCAATATTTCGCGGCGCGAGAAGCCACGCTAAAGATTCTGTCACCAGTCGATATGTTTCACACCAGCGAGGGCGCCTCACCCGCAATCTGGTTGATCACTGATTCATTATTGTCGTGTAGCTACATCGGAATAGCCGACGCAATGCCGAACTGGCTAAGCAGATTGCGGAGGACAATTGTTTCGCACGTCATCTCTGAAACAGCGACAAACTCGGCTTTCATTGTTGATAGAGATACCCACTTACTTACAAGCCCCCATCTCACTATCATGTCGTCCGGGAGATGCTTACCACTGATCGATGACTTCTTATCAGATTTGTCCACAACGTCAGCTCAGCTAAACACTTTGAGTCGTAATGCTTATTTACGGTCTTGAGACGGCTCTACTGTGATCTTATCTCGTCGTAAATTTTAGAGACCGGCCAATCCTATTGAAGATCTTTCAGCCAAGAAGGCGCGGCGCCGAATCTGACGCTTGGTCTTATGTGCCGTAAAAGCGATGTCAGATCTCATACATCCTGCAACCCACAGTAAACCACCCACAAATGACTAAAACTCCTGGATCGTTGGGCCGGCGCGTGCGGTCGACGGTCCAACATTTCTACGTTGTCCAGCTGCGTGTCGTAGCAGTAGTCGCCGATTATCACTTGCGCTGAGTTGGCGTTCGCCAACCCGTTGATGCAAAATAAATCCCACAACTGCCTCGTCCTGGTCCATATTGTATCCTCCGTCGCCGTAGAGCTCGATATAAATCCCAAGGAATTTATTTACGCGACCGACTTTGTATTGACGGAGGCGCGAGTCTGTCAAAGTATTGATCGAATGCTAACGAATGTGTGCCGGTAGTGGCATGCCGTCGAATGGGATTCTGACAACAATAAGGTTAATTGCCGTCTCGCTCATGAGCCCATATCGCTTTCGAACTGCTGGTAAAAGGCTTTGAAAGTATCTGACTTTATATAGTCGGTCAGACTGTTTGAGACCGGAAAGACTCTTGCGGATGTACAGAAAAAAGTTTGTACGTACTTGTGACACCGTACTCCTGCATTCTTTTTCAAGCACGAGATGTCGCGGGGCAGTTGCATGTAAGTTAGCCGGGTGTTACTTCATTCCGCCTTGACTCACGCATGGGCGATGTCATCATGCTTGGAAAGCAACCCATAAGTGGCGGCTAGAGCAGGCATGAACTTCACAAACGACATTTCCATGACGGAAATAAACATACTGCTGAAGTCGACTGCTAGAACCCTTTCGTTAATACAAGCAGCAAGGGCACGCATTTAGCCTTTGGAGCTTGTCCTAAAATGAATTCTATGTCTTGTTTACCCAAATTTTGTGCAAAACAATATTGGATTCTGCCGTTTATGCACCCTGTCCAAATTTAAGACCCCCATACCATATTTTAAGTTACACAAACAGTTCAATACCGTGCTCATTAATATACCGTACCATAAAATCCCGACTCCTGACGAGCTCCGATCGAGATAAAGCCAGTACGAAATTGAATAAATTTTGTGTAGCTGTACGATTTAATGCAAGTGTCTAGTAAAGCTAAAAATGTGATATACTATGTAAAGGCTGGTTTTTAGGAAGCCAGTAGTCAGATTTGAGGCTTTCAAATGGCTTTTGTGATACCAAAACACTGTTCGGTGCCCATGGCGCTCTGGCAAGTGTCAAGAAAGCGAGGAAATGCCCTATAGACCGCTTTGGCCATGAGTCATTCGGCAATGCGTCGCGTCATGACGATCTGCCCATTGGCGCCCAACTCGCTCGCTTCGGCCGCGAGCACTTCGGCTGTGCCTGTGTAGACGAATTCTACGGCCACGTTAGAGTTGGCTGTCGATGTCGAACCCCATGGCGTCGTAGACGCCCATGCGCACGCGCAGTCCGCAAAATACGACGCAGTGGTCACGCGGTGTTTTTTGGTCGCGGCCACGAGGTCGTGGAGGTCCTTGGACCACGGCACGGCGAGAAACTGGAGCAGCACGTCGAGGCAGTAGGTCATGGCCTAGCGGATTTTGTGAAACGCCATTAGAAACGGGTCGTCGGCCGTCGTAATCTCTTTACAGCGGTTAAGCGCCGCAGCATTCGCAGCGTGTCGTCGTGCACTTGGATCACGCGGAGCATGACCTTAGCGTCGATGAAACCTAGAGCGCCCGACGACTTGATGTCCGTCACAATAAGCACAGAGTTAAATACGGGCGCGGTTACAAACTTGATGCGTTTGTGCGCGCCACGCAAGTGCAGGCAGCATCAGCCGTAGACGTGCAGCCTGTAAGGCAGAATGCAGCCCTTGGCGAGTGCAAACGCCCAGCACGTGACCTTGTACAACACGTGGATCATCTCCAGATAGTGTACCGTCCAGGTGGGACGACAAGCCGTCGTGATGTGAATGACTAGCGACTTGCACTCGGACTGCAGCGCAAAGAGCCCGTAGGTGCACGTCATGCACTGGAGCCACTGGTACACGGGCGGCGCCTAGAAGCGGACGTTGATAGAATCGACGTCGCGGCCTCGGCGCTTAAGCCAAAGATCGCAACGTCCAAGTACACGAGCGTCGCGAGCTGCAGCACGTATACACACATCGCGAGGCATTACGTGCAGCGTGAGTAGCCGCCGTTAAGGAAGCTGAAGACGGCTTGGCAATCGCGAAGCTCGCGATCTATGCGTGGCCGAAAGAAAGGTACATGAGGATCTTTTTCTGGTCTTTGCTCGTGCTGCGATCCATGGACTTGGCCGCGATATTGGACAGGTCATAGGTGTACGGTATCGACCAGAGCGCCACTGCGAAGTGCAGGAGGTCGCACAGATTCAGGAGGAGCGTAAGCAGCGCCGGTAAAGGCGCGCAAAAGTCCGGAGTTGCGTCGATACTCATAAACGGGACGAGCGGAAGCGCGTGCGGAGATTCCCCGTCACGTCGAGACGCGACAGCAGTGTGACATGGGTCCACACGTAGGCGCCGCCACGAGCGACAGTGTAGATCCACAGGTACGTGAGTTACATCAAGATGACGCATGGACGAGGTGTTCCCACGCGCGGTACAGTTTGACCGTCACTAGCGTTGTCGAGAGTTTGGACAGCACGAGCGGCGTTAGGCATAAGACGATGTATGCTGTTCCGCCATGCGTGAAGACGTTATAAGTGCGGGGCACAGGCGAGAGGGTCGGCGGAGACCGGGCACGGGCACACGTAGGCTGTGGCTACCAAGAAATGTATGGAGCTCCCCAGTCGGCTGATGCTCACAAGTGTAGTAGCAGAAGTAGAAACGACGACGTCTGCAATCGCTGATCAGGCAAAAAGCTCATCGGATGTGCTCCAATTTGGTGCCTGGACTGGGTTTTGGCCTTAATTGATGAGAATGTCGTGTGGACGAGAAGCGTTCGCTGCCAGCTGCTCGATGCTGAGGGAAACGTTTTAACAACCAGATCTTGGACTGTCGAAAGGTATGCATGACCGAGTAGCGAGCTAAAAACTGTCTCTTTTGGCCCTCCTTGAAGGCGAGATACATGCCATACTTGTTAACCACAGCTTCTAAGACGAGAGGTGCCCTCTCGCGCTGCATGCACTGCTGCAGGTAGTCTTTGCTAACCTCTTCTTCCTTAAGAAACTTCAAAAACGAGCGTGCTGCGTTCTCACGAGCACTCTTCGTGTTGCTATGTGCGAGGTTTGACAGACTCATCTATCGTCTGAGCTGTTGAATCTTGAATGTAATTCATCGAATATACAAGCGGCTCATCTTTCGTCGTATATGTCTAAAATATTGGAGCTTGGGTGTTATTTAGATAATATGTGATTACATAAGTGTTTGTATTGCGACAAAAATAACAACACTGCCCCATCCGACCCAATACGTCGAAGAGGTGGCTGTGAGAGCTTCGCTTGTCAAATTACTCTATAATTGGTCTTAAGAATTGTATGTTTTCGATTTGAATTGCTAATAAAGAATTCAATATCATCACGCCCACCCTATTGGTCAATGAATACAATGCGTAATTTAAGTGCGGTCGGAGACATTATGTTATTTTCCCATAACATTTTTGAAAAAGGGACTTTTTCGGCCAACCATTGCCCACTTCAAAAATTATTGACAGCGGTTGCTTAAAATCCCGTTTACTTACATACGCTTAGATCACTTTATGTCAAGCTTAATCAGCATCAAAAGTCTTCGTCCTCCGGTGCTCACCATGGAACCCAGGCGCATTTACAAAAACAACCTCGAAAAGAGATCGAGTGGATCGAACGTCCTGGAGGTGGAGTCTTCACGCGTACCTTGAAGCACTTTCAAGCGGAGCGAGGTTGTAAGGTGTCAGGTGCCCAACAGGTGGAAGAACCGCGCCGCCTTAATGAAATTCCCGGCTTTGCAGCTGCGTGTGACAGTTGCCGTCAGACACCCACGGTTTGGCGAGGTATAGGATCTCCTGTTTGACCGGATCATTTTCGTGAAATCGACGAAGGAAAAGGTGTCGCGTCAGTGAATCCAAGCATCTGAACGCAAGAACGTTAAAGCGGAGCTGGACGACGATGATTTTTGAGCATCTGACAAGTGGCGCGCTCGCTTCATGGCTCGCTATGGCCTAACTCTCAAACGGACAGCCAACCTCACCGTATTGAGTGAAGACGAGCTCACTGCGCGTGCCGTGTGATTCGTTACGTACCTCTCATCGAAGAAGAGCTCTCTCAGCTGCAGCGGCACGCTCCTGATGGATGAGACGGCGTCATTCTTCGAAGCTCCGCGAAGCGACACTGCATACTTAAGAGTGCTCATCGTGGCGTCTTGCGCTCCATATATTTCGCTTCCATTCGGATCAAGGCCGCCCTGACTGTCACAGCCACGGGGACAAAGCTGTCACCTCTTCTGAACTCGCAGAGCGCGAAAAACGATCCAGTAGAGCGGCGCGATTTTGGTTGTGCATCAATACCGGGGACAAATGAACATTGAGCTTCTTTTGAAAACGATTGATCTGCTGATTTTAGCGCTTATAAGCTTCTTCATTGGGAGAAGGCTCGTGTGGGACTTGATGCAATCGCATATAGCAAAGGGCGTCAAGATGAAGTGCATCAGCAAGAAGATCCAGATGATGATATATTCCTGGAGGTTTAACGCCGTATCTGTAGACAGGGGACATCAAAATATTGATGTCGTTTAATGATTGTCTATCTAGCGTGATTGACGAATGGAAGCTACCTGATAGTATGTATTACACTAAGAAAGGAACTCCACGGCCACCGAACGTGGACGAGATGGTGGCTTGGGTCAGCACTTCGTGATAATCTGTCCCCAACGGTGTTGTCCGCAATTCTGACGTAGCATCTGGGTTCGCTGTTGACTACCATGGCTGGCTCATTGCCGTGAAAGACGTGTACTGTAAACTCTTCCAGAGCAGATTGGTGATCGTCACCGGAGAATTATCCGATGATGCAGACGGTGCATATGTTTCAGATGAGTTTGACGATGTAGTCGCTGAATGGAGCATTTCTTTTTTTGTTTGCAGCGCCTAATCTGATGTTCATCACAATAAGTATACAATATTAGGTCTTACGTATCGGTTCCAGATCTCCCTGTGGGAATCTATCTGTGTGATCGCTGAAGGGTTTAAAACCGGACTGTTTGTGTAACTGTTAGCTGCTTCACTAATCCACTAATGCCGTCGTTTTTGACTCGAGACGATAATTTTATTTCGAATGCGTGTAAATTGGTAGTGACCCTATCTAATACAACCCCTTTTCTTGACAATTAAGGTATGATAGAGTAATATGATACCGTATATTAATCGACAGAACCCGTTCGATCGTGTCTTGCACTTACTTACTTGTCAAAAGTTGTTACTAATATGTGCTGCGATCAACCCTTCCATACCATTGATCCTACCAACTCATGATTCGCTGTATGGCCCACTGTGGTTGGACAGATCCTTTTTACGAATAGCGCTCACCACTCTATACTCGCAGATGACAATCCCTGTGATACGGCCGTCTAAGTGCGCTCCGGTGCGACACACATAAGATGTTCTGAACCCTTCTGCGTCTTCTTAATATATCTATTATATGCCACATTGTTGATTAACCCTTCGTCTTCCTTGTCCTCGTGACACTTCACTTGCCCTATATGCAAGCTTTAGGCACCGGGAAGCGTTTACATGCTTTGACGTACTTTTTCACAGTTTTCTTTTTCGCCTTTCGTCTCACGCTCTTGTAGCCTTTCACTTCATCGCTGATACGGACGATCAGGGCGAGATGCGCGCGCTGTTGCAGCAATTTGCTTTGCAGGATTCGAGCACAACAATATCGCGTAGGTCTGGCTCCGTACCCGTCAGTACTTTGACAGGTAAAGCATACTTTGAGTTCACTCTCTTCATAATGCGGCTCAATTTGCACGCTATATAATGAATCGCTTCACCCCGAATTGTACTGTCAGCCTGAACGCAAACACCGTGCTTCGACTCATATCCATCATCGTCATATGCATTTGCTCATCATTGCCATTGACGGCCTGGTTGCGCGATCCGGACACGTGTCGTGCAGCTCAAATCTTCTGGCAAAAAGGTATACATTGTTGTAGTCGCTGCCTCCATTCGTACGCAGCAATTAAATACATCAGTCATACCGATTATCAGAGAAATCGAAATCATTTGATCAGCTTGGATGCTGTGTCCTTTGAGCGTGTGAGGATTACTCGGCAGTATGTTCACCTATGGTCGACGAATTTGACGATGTAGCGATCGCCGATTCTGTCAATTGATGTTAACGTACCCTCCAGTCCGATCGGATGACGCTTCCGACTCTGTCGATCGGCATGCTGTACTGATGTCCTCTTGAAGATGGCTTCTGAGCATCTACTAGCTATCAATACCCGAGACGCACGCTATGCACTTGTTAATTGTCAGCCGGATGCCTTGCGCTTGGTCTTGCACCATGCGATCGAATGCATCGAGCTCTATAGATCCAAAAGATATACGAAGTGTAGCAGTGTGTCTTCTTCTAACTCTCTCTACACGCCCGTGATCGATTACAATTTGAGCGCCGACATGATGACGTCAGACAAACTGTACCTGTCTCACATCGTCTGCATCTCGACGTACAGCATGTATCTCTCCATTTAGACGTCGAATGCGATGACAATGTCTCTG